CTATTGTTTTTGTAACGAATTTGTTCTCTCTTTGACAGCGACGCGACACGAGTGGTGCTGTGACGGCAAATGTTCCTATGACGAAGGAAACGCACTTACCTACCTCTCCCACCAGCACGCGAGCATCACCAGGCGGCGGATCGCGCGCCACGTGGCAGGCGGCGGATCGCGCGCCATGAGAGGCTCGGCACTGCCTGGTGAGAGGCTCGGCACTGCCGCGGCCAAGTGCCTCTTCAGCGCTGCAAGCGCCGCCAAGTGCCTCTTCCGCGCTGCAGGCGCGGCCAAGTGCCTCTTCCGCACTGCAGGCGCCACCAAGTGCCCGTTCCGCGCTGCAGGCGCCGCCAAGTGCCTATTCCGCGCTGCAGGCGCCACCAAGTGCCCGTTCCGCGTTGCAGGCGCGGCCAAGTACCTATTCCGCGCTGCAGGCGCCACCAAGTGCCCGTTCCGCGCTGCAGGCGCGGCCAAGTGCCTATTCCGCGCTGCAGGCGCCACCAAGTGCCCGTTCCGCGCTGCAGGCGCGGCCAAGTGCCTATTCCGCGCTGAGAGGCACGAGGAGAGTCCCTCCCCCCCCTGCCCTCCTTATCCCCTTTTCCCCCGATCCCCTTATTCCGTTCCTCTTTATTCCCTTTCCCCCCTACCTTGTTATTCCCTTCCCCCCCGTTGCGCCCTTGCTCGTTCTGTCCTGGCTCGTTGCGCCGTTGCTCGTTTCCGCCGTTGCTCGTTTCCGCCGTTGCTCGTTTCCGCCCTTGCTCGTTTCTGCCGACAGTGACGGGCGCAGCTGGGCAACGGTGCGGCGAGGCTAAGGCGAAGCCAGTGAGGCACGAGGTGAGACAACGGTGAGGCTCGTCGTTCCCTTGCTCTGCACTCGTCGTTCCCTTGCTCTGCACTCGTCGTTCCCTTGCTCTGCACTCGTCGTTCCCTTGCTCTGCACTCGTCGTTCCCTTGCTCTGCACTCGTCGTTCCCTTGCTCTGCACTCGTCGTTCCCTTGCTCTGCACTCGTTGTTCCCTTGCTCTGCACTCGTCGTTCCCTTGCTCTGCACTCGTCGTTCCCTTGCTCTGCACTCGTCGTTCCCTTGCTCTGCACTCGTCGTTCCCTTGCTCTGCACTCGTCGTTCCCTTGCTCTGCACTCGTCGTTCCCTTGCTCTGCACTCGTCGTTCCCTTGCTCTGCACTCGTCGTTCCCTTGCTCTGCACTCGTTGTTCCCTTGCTCTGCACTCGTCGTTCCCTTGCTCTGCACTCGTCGTTCCCTTGCTCTGCACTCGTCGTTCCCTTGCTCTGCACTCGTCGTTCCCTTGCTCTGCACTCGTCGTTCCCTTGCTCTGCACTCGTCGTTCCCTTGCTCTGCACTCGTCGTTCCCTTGCTCTGCACTCGTCGTTCCCTTGCTCTGCACTCGTCGTTCCCTTGCTCTGCACTCGTCGTTCCCTTGCTCTGCACTCGTCGTTCCCTTGCTCTGCACTCGTCGTTCCCTTGCTCTGCACTCGTCGTTCCCTTGCTCTGCACTCGTCGTTCCCTTGCTCTGCACTCGTCGTTCCCTTGCTCTGCACTCGTCGTTCCCTTGCTCTGCACTCGTCGTTCCCTTGCTCTGCACTCGTCGTTCCCTTGCTCTGCACTCCTCCTCACCCCCCTGTTTTCCCATCCCCCACTGTTCATCCTATTGCTTCCCCATCCCGCATTGTTCACCCCACTGTTTCCCCATCCCGCACTGTTCACCCCACTGTTTCCCCATCCCGCACTGTTCACCCCACTGTTCCCCATCCCGCACTGTTCACCCCAATGTTTCCCCATTCTGCACTGTTCACCCCTCTGTTTCCCCATCCCGCACTGTTCACCCCACTGGTTCCCATCCTGCACTGTTCACTCTCCGCTCTGGTCTGGATGAGGCTCGGAGAGCCATGCTGTCACACCTGCCATCCTGCCACCCCTCCCCACCCCGCCTTGCGCAGGTGGCCTTCTCTCGCTGCAGGGCGCCGTGAAGAGACCTTCTCACCCCGCCAAGACACGAGACACATCTACAAGTAGGATATTTGGAAGGACATGCACCTTGCTCTTGTTTTGTACGGTACTTGTGTGCGTGTGTCGATATATAAGAGCTGCGGGGTGGGTGTGGGCTAGGCACGGGGTGGGTTTGGCCTAGCCTTGGCCCCTGCAAGCCCGGTTACTGTTCCTGCCGCCCGGTTACTGTTCCTGCTGCCTGCTTACCGTTCCAGCCGCCTGGTTATCGCTCCAGCCGCCTGGTTACCACTCCACCCACCTGGTAACCGCTCCAGCTGCCCGGTACTGTTCCAGCCGCCCAGTTACTGCTACGGCCACCTTGTTACTGTTACTGCTGCCCAGCTACTGTTCCTGCCGTCTTGTTACTGTTCCAGCCACCTTCTGACAACATGAACAGGAACAGGAACATGAACAGGAACAGGAACAAGACCAGGACCAGGACCAGGACCAGGACCAGGATCAGGACCATGCCATGCCAGGGATAGGGGGGGACCATGCCATGCCAGGGATAGGGGGGGACCATGCCATGCCAGGGATAGGGGGGGACCATGCCATGCCAGGGATAGGGGGGGACCATGCCATGCCAGGGATAGGGGGGGACCATGCCATGCCAGGGATAGGGGGGGACCATGCCATGCCAGGGATAGGGGGGGACCATGCCATGCCAGGGATAGGGGGGGACCATGCCATGCCAGGGATAGGGGGGGACCATGCCATGCCAGGGATAGGGGGGGACCATGCCATGCCAGGGATAGTGGGGGCGGTCTGGGGGGCTGTGGGGGGCTGTGAGGAGGATTGGGGGGTAGGGGGGCCTTAGGGGGGCTGTGAGGGGGCTGTGGGGGGGTTTCTTCTCCCCTCTTGTTATTTTCACTCCCTTTGTTGTCCACACTCTGCGTTATAGTACCACTTTCTGCTCTACGATATTATTGTTTCTCTTCCTTTTCCTTCTCTCTTGTACCGTACCGTGTATTATTATTACACTGATAACAAACAGTGCTGCTTGTTTTGTGGCCCTCAATTCCCTTAGGCTTCATTTGTTTTCCTTCTCAAGCTATACTATTGCGTTTTCCTTCATTTGTTTTCCATTCCCGATTGCGTCACATCGGACTCCACAAATATTCAATACTATTATGTATTATTGCTATGGGGCTGCTATGGGGCTGCCATGGAGTGGTAACATGTGATTGTAACCAGGCAGAACGATATGATGAGCCACTACCGCCTACGAAAGGGCCATATCGGCCCTGAGCCATTTCATTCTTCAAATCAACCCAGTCAGCATGTTGGATCCGTGCTGCGCGGGTTTGCACAAGCAAATTGAGCCAATTGCATCGTCAACTTCGATGTGTCATGAGCTGGGTACTTGACATTTGCTTGGGTGGCCCTTGTAATCATTCTCTATCAGAGGCACATAGCAGATTGCTGAGCTTTCCACATACCATACCGATGTTTCGTCCAAGTGAAATAAAAAAGGAGTTCGCTTTAGCCTGCCCAAACGCACATGTAGAGCTTTGTACCAACATTCAAGGTGAGAATGGAGGTCAATATGGAGCTCTTAAAAAAAAAAAAAAACACTAGCGGTATTACTGCATGCACTTTTACATTAGTATTCATATGCATGCTCCACACACACTCACACTCACACACCTACCCATCCACACCTACACACCCACACACACATGTACCGGTATGTAGGTAACTGCTATTGGATTGGGAAGAGAGGAAGGGGAGGAAGAAGGGAGAACAAAAGTGGCACCGTAAGTGGGTGGGGAAGAGAGGTAGAGCAGACTAGACAGCAAGAACTTCATTTCCCTGGTTAAATCAAGCCGGATTAACGGCACCACTTCGAAGGCCTGTCTTCAGACTCATTCCCTGCTGCCTTCTTGCCTTGAGAAGGAGCATTATTTCATTTGGAGTCTTGACTTCTTGGTCTTCATAGAAGCATCTCCACAAGCTAGTGACTTAGCGGATACACTTGAAAGACAGCATGTCAGCTGAAGTGTATCTGTTAGCGGGTCAAAAACAAACGGATAGGTGGAGGAAAACGTGAATGCACAAGAGAAGTGGGTGTGCATGGGACTGAGTGGCTTCCAGAACCAACGAGGAGTTTATAGCGAAGCAGGAATGAGACAAATGTATGGGAAAAAAAGATTGGGTGTATGACTTACGGAACACCCTGTGCAGTGATGCTGCCCAGTGACAGGTACGGGAGCTGAGCAATGGGCGATCCAGCGCAGTTAGGATAGCGATACACGTAGATAGTCTTGCAGTTTCCAATTCCTCCCGGTGCACGGTCCACTCGCCAGTATGACTGGACGTAGTAACCAATAGACGTAGGCAGGTTGGTGCAGCCGTTGTAGATCACGCGCAGAGTGTAGGTGTTGGGTGTTAAGTCATACTTGGGCAGGTTGTAGAAGGTGAAACTCGCCGAGGAGACGGTTGGGGCATATCCTGGAAGGATGACAAAGCGGGAGAACAGAAAATTGGGGGAGTTTGAAATGGGGTATGGAGTTTGAAATGGGGTATGGAGCTCGTGATGCGAGCACAAGTGTCTAGACCTAGACCCTTGCACATTGGTTACCCTCAAATGCAGTAACATTGGTGCCCTTGATTGCAAGATAATGGTCTTACCACGGACGCAACCAGTGCTGGTCATGCCATAGCCACCAGGGCAGTAGCAGTAAGGAGCCTTGAGAGTAGATGAGACAAGAGTGCATGTGGCCCCAGCTGGACAGTTCCCGCAGGTTGCAGGCCCTGGTGAGCACAGGATAGAGAATAGTGGGGGTATGTTAGTGCAGGACAGCAGGTAGAGTAAAAGGGGAGAAGGTTAGTGCAACCGTGCTACAGCTTAAGCAGGTGACGACAGGCATGCGCATAGGACAGCACAAAGCAGGACAATCCAATGTGCGAGAAGGACAGAGGATGAAGAGAGAGGGGGAGTGGGGGGGAAGGGAGGGACGGGGGAGGAGAGTTGGGGGGGAAGGGAGGGACGGGGGAGGAGAGGTGGGGGAAGGGAGGGAGGTGAGGATGTATTAAAAGAGATTGTGACGTACCAACACATTCGCCATAGAGCTTTGTGTAGCCTGACCTGCAGACACAGTCTGCATTACCGTTTGGATATTTCATACAATAATACGACGTGAGTATGTCACAGTTCTTAATAATGCAGTTATCTGGAGGGAAGGGGAGGGGGGGAAGAGGGGGTGCCAATGAGTGTGGGGCATTGTGGAGTAAGAGAACGAGAACAGAGGGGAAAGAGGAGGACGTACAGATGCAATGCACGCTTGCCATAGGTGGATATGGCAGAAGGAGAAAGAGAGAGCGTAAACAAGAGGGGGAGATAAAGGGAGAGGTAGGGGACAATTAGAGGGAGAGAGAGAGAGAAAGCTATAGGTGGAGGGAAAGAGCTTGTGTGGTAGAGAGAGAGGGAGAGGGAGAGGGAGAGGAAGAGGAGGAGGGAGAGGGAGAGGAGGAGGGAGATGGAGAGGGAGGAGAGGGAGGGGCACTCATAAACACGACACACAGCAACACACACCTTTGCATGTCCTGCCATCTTTCTGCAGCGTGAAGCCAACGTCACAAACACAAGAGGCCCACCCCAACGCGTCCTTGACACAGTGACCGTGCGCGCTACACGCTTTCAGTATACATGTGTCTGCCATTGGGGGAAGACGCAACGGGAAAAATAAACCCAAAGTGTTAAGACAATAAAAAGAAGAACAGAGAAGCAAATGGAACAGCGATTGGAAGCGCAGTCATGGTAACCTTCTGCCCACGTCATGCCATCCTTCTGCAGCACAACGCATCCTCTCAGCTTGTATAGCATTGAATCATCCGCAGAAAACCACAGACTGATTCTCCACGCATTGCAGCAGAGCATTGACCAACACAGCACAGCACTGACCAACACAGCACAGCACTGACCAACACAGCACAGCACTGACCAACACAGCACAGCACTGACCAACACAGCACAGCACTGACCAACACAGCACAGCACTGACCAACACACCACCGCACTGACCACACAGCACAGCACTGACCAACACAGCACAGCACTGACCAACACAGCACAGCACTGACCAACACAGCACAGCACTGACCAACACAGCACAGCACTGACCAACACAGCACAGCACTGACCAACACAGCACAGCACTGACCAACACAGCACAGCACTGACCAACACAGCACAGCACTGACCAACACAGCACAGCACTGACCAACACAGCACAGCACTGACCAACACAGCACAGCACTGACCAACACAGCACAGCACTGACCAACACAGCACAGCACTGACCAACACAGCACGGCACTGACCAACACAGCACGGCACTGACCAACACAGCACGGCACTGACCAACACAGCACAGCACTGACCAACACAGCACAGCACTGACCAACACAGCACAGCACTGACCAACACAGCACAGCACTGACCAACACAGCACAGCACTGACCAACACAGCACAGCACTGACCAACACAGCACAGCACTGACCAACACAGCACAGCACTGACCAACACAGCCGTCCTCGGTCATGGCGTAGCCCCAGTTGCAGTGACAGACGGCGAGAGACTCCTCCTTCTCACAGTAGGCGTTCTCCCCGCAGTCCATTATCGAGCACGAGTCTGTCAATAGATGGACACGGGAGCAAGGACAGGAAAGTGGAAAAAAATCAGAGTGCCCTGCCTGCATGCATGCGCAAGAGGACTTGGTTGCAACTAGGAAGGTCGAACAAGAGGCAGCGATTGGGCACTTGCAACACGGGTGTGAACTCGAGGAACGGAAGCAGCGAGGATGCGAGAATTGGGCAGAGACACTCACGAGAGCAGGACGCGTTGGGCAGGAGTTTGAGGCCCCTTTCGCACACGCAGTTCGCCCAGCCTCCCTCGCTCTTGAGGCAGTTGGCGTTGGGGCCGCAGTTGCGTACCACGCACACGTCTGCACTCAGACACGTGGGGGCAGACAAGCACGAAGGGGCAGAACAAGGCACGTCATCATTCGCCATCACAACTGGTACACCAAATCCAGAAGATGTAACACAGAATGCAGACGGCACAAGACTACAGTGGATGAATTCTGGAAAATGTAACACAGAACGTTGCATTCATTCTATCCAACAGCACCCACCAACGCAGTTGCCGTCTGCATCCCTCTCTTCGCCCGCAGGGCAGGGGCGGTTGACAGCAGCAGGTGGCAGGTCAACAAAATCAGGTGGCCCGTTGGGTGAGTTGTCTGCGAGAAACAATGGGTGGCGGGGAATCATTGGGAGTGTTGAAACGATGAGCTGCAGGTAAAAAGATGACAGAAAGTTAGACGGTGTTGAAAGGCACTGTCAGGGCAAAGGTGAGAAGCATAGCAGCAAACTGCAGCCTTACCATGGCAAGACTTGCCATCATCCCGCAGCGTGAATCCAGGGTCACAAACACAGGACGCCGCCCCATTCTCGTCCTGCACGCACTGGCCGTTCTCGCCACACTCCTGGAGCACACATGTGTCTGGCAGGAGGAGAGCAACGGGAACAAAACAAGCAGCAGTAACCGCAGTGAATGCGAAGCAAATCATCCATTAACTGCAGCAGAACAATTTTAGCAGCAGATGGCGTCAGAACAGAAGCGGCGGCACAAAGAAAAGCACCTCAGCAGCAGCACCACAGCACATCAGCAGCAGCACACGCAAATGGCTACCTGTGCATGTCTTGCCATCCGGCGCCAGCCCAAAGAACGGGTCACAAACACAGGATGCCGCCCCCTCCGCGTCCTTCACGCACTGGCCGTTTTCACCACACGCCTGGAGCACACACGTATCTGGAAAGGGAAGACTCAAAGGGGACAGCAAGCATTAGAATACAGCAGCGCCATAAGGATCAAATCAGACATTAGACAAATCAGTACGGATAAGCAGCACTCACCAACACAGCCGTCCGCAGTCTTTTCAAAGCCAGGGTTGCAATGACAGGAGGAGATTCCTTGGTCCTCCTCACAGTACCCGTTCTCCCCACAGTCCTCGGCCGTACACAGCTCTACCAGGTTCACAGCATGAGAGGGTGTACAGTAGAGTACGCAGAGGGATAGTGAAAAGAGGTGAAAGCTGCCAACTTTATTCCAGTGGAATGCCCACGATGCTGACAGGCCTGGATGCGACCGAGACAGCTTGAATGAGAGGCAGAAGCAGCAGCGATGATACCATGTCATGTGAAGCAGCAGCGATGATACCATGTCATGTGAAGCAGCAGCGATGATACCACGTCATGTGAAGCAGCAGCGATGATACCATGTCATGTGAAGCAGCAGCGATGATACCATGTCATGTGAAGCAGCAGCGATGATACCATGTCATGTGAAGCAGCAGCGGATATGGGAACCAAAAAGGTTGGGTGGAGTCAACTCACGGGCGCAGGACGCATCGGGCAGCAGCTTGAAGCCCCTGTCGCACACGCAGTCCGCCCAGCCCGCCTGGCTCTTGAGGCACCTCGCGTTGGTGCCGCAGTTGCGTACTGTGCACGAGTCTGCACGCAGGCACGTGGGGGACACAAAGACACGTGGGATGGTAAGCACATGGTGAGCTGAAAAGTCCGTGCAGAATGTCACGTGGCATGGTTAATGTCTTCTGGAGCACAAACTGAGGCTGTGAATGCCGGATTACATGTTGAAGCTGTGAAGTTGCACACCAAATGAGGCCGAATGAACCAATATCGATGCATTCACAGCACTCACCAATGCAGTTGCCTTCTGCGTCCTTCACATAACCCACTGGGCACTGGCTGCTGGTAGCAGATGGCAGGCGAATGGCAACAGCAACCCTGGGCGCACAGGCTGGGAAAAACAGTGCGGGGGATGAAGGAGGTGGTCAGGACTCGTTCCTAATGAGCAATAAATCTGCAAACAACATCATGAGCACAAACCCTAAAACGTAAAAAATTGCACAGACGAATAAGTGTTCCCAAAGGTGAGAGAATGATGAGTACCTGAGAGCATAAGAGCAACCAGTGCGGCAGCAAGTACAAGGCCAGAGAGTCGCAGTTCGTTTGCAGCCATAGCCGATCCCGAAGTGAAAGTAGTAACGATGACAATGACGATGCTGAGCTTCAAGGTGAGCAATCTCGCGAACGCAGCCAAGAGAAGTGTCTGGTAAAGCAGGAATGATGGAATGAGTGCTAACTGGATGGCCCACCCGCTGAAATACTTCCTGCCCAGATGATGCGGTTGAAACTCGCCCTCTTCCGTCGCCCGCCATCAGCGGGTGCCAAACAGTTGACTTGCGCCTTTGCCGCCTTGGACTAGAAAAACGCAAAAACGACAACTCGCTTGTGACATGGCAGATCTGACGTGGATTAATCCACTATCTGACTCAGATCCAGCATTGCTAAGCAGACGAGTTGGAATTGGGGCGTGGTGGGTGTTATATGAACTGTACATCGCTAAAATACTTCCTGCCCAGTCCCGCCTCCTGCCGATTGAAAACTCCGCCCTTCCGCCCGCCATCCGCCGGGTGCCTAGATTTGACTTTCTGTCATCACGTCGTGGCGCGCCTATGCTGCCTTGGACTACAACTCGAAAAAACGACAACTCGCTAGTGACCATCCCAGACCTGACGTAAATTACTCTACGAATCTGACTCAGCTCCAGCATTGCAGAGAAAACGAGCGGGAATTGGTGGGATTGAGGTGTGTGTTTATCTGAACAGATAAACACCAGTTAGTGGTGTCCTGCGCACGAAAGCTTGCAAGCTGGATTCCAGCAATGAAATCGAGAGTAGTAAAAAAACAAAAATATCGCTTTCAACGCTGCAACGCTGGCCTGCATTCCCAAGCTGAGCTGCATTCCCAAGCTGAGCTGCATTCCCAAGCTGAGCTGCATTCCCGACTAACTCTGGGCTGGATGCCATCCAAACCTGCATACCGTACATGCCATCATGGCATTGCGTCTGGGTGGCAGGCTCGGTCAGATACGTTGGCTTGGTTGTGCTTTGGTGGTGTGCATACGCAAGTTCCGACTGA